TCTTCATTACATGATTCCGGGGAAATCTCTGGGTGGTCATTCTATTGTTGGATTATTCAGGTCAGCCACTAAAAAACAATTTTTAAACCATGAAATAAATGTGTAAGTTGAAGAGAGGCTGGCAAAATGATAGTGACACATGATGAGGGAAATGTGGTGAATTGCAAGGTAGGAGAAATGGGAGAACCTTGAAAAAAGCTGTCTTAATTCTATTTTGTCCATCACAAATTCCACTCAGAGTGACCGGAATGAGAACCCTGATACTAAAAAAATTAAGGAGATGAATCTGACCACTATGTCATGACTGCTCACCTTTTGTAAAACTGAAGCAAATTCTAAATTACCAATGAATGATAATAATTATTTTAAACTTAAAGTGAAGAAACAGACACTATCAGTCGAGAAACAGAAAGTAGTAACAACTGTTTCAAAATGTACTATAAAATTAAAATTGTCCTATAATATTTACATGACATAAATATCAGCTGCCAGTAAACAATAATAATAGTGATCACAAAAATATTGAAATTTTAACATGTCATTAATCATAAGTGAATTTGGGGCTGATGCTAAGACATTGTTTTTTCTTTTATAGGTGAACCAGAAGGTGAACAAATATACACATTGGAGCCACTTCCTCTCAATCATGTAAGTAATTAATATGTAATTTTTCTTCAGGTGAATACTAATAAAAGATTACAAATTAATTGATCGTTTCATACCTAACATTGAATAGCAAAAATATTGAAAGTTCAATGGGTAACAAAAGTAACAAATGCTTCAAAAAGCAGAAAAGGTCTGACTCGGTGAATGAAAAGGAAAACAAGACAATTAGATAGGACACTTACTACGTTATGAAACTTTGTCACAATTCTGAATTTGAAGGAAAAGTGAAAAGAAAGAATTGCAGATTAATCTAAGGAAAGAATGTTAAAACAGATAAAAAGATGGTATAAATAAAAACATATCATTCATACTGTTAATTGAAAACACTGGTGGAGAACAACTAGGAATGGACAATAACCGTTATTGGCACCCTATCTATGAATTCTAAACCAAAAGATAAAGTGTAGTTTAACTTCATACTTCACAAAACTAACATCCTTCTACACTCTTTCATTTTGAAGAGATGTTTACACACACAGTAGTAATGAAAAATGTTTTGTCAGATGTGATTATTGTTAATTCTGTAATACACATTTCTAGAGTTCAGATAATTTTGCACATTTCTTTAGCATCCAGAAGGCTCTATTATTGTCTCAAAGGAAAGACAATCCTTTTCATGTCCAAGAAAGACCAACAATTGTCAAATCATTAAACATGCTTGGAGTAGTCTTGTCATCCTTTTCTTTTTTCTTTCCTTTTTCTCTTTGTCTTCTTTCTTCTGTTTGTTATCCAAAATGTGTAACTTGGTATTTTTTTAAACAATAAACAACATGCACAATTCATTGGGAACTTTTTGTGTATTTGCAATTAAATTTTTGTAATAGTGTGTGGTTAAATAGAACATCAGAGGCATTAATTTTGTTTTATCAGATCTTTTGTTTTTTTATTAACCTTGATTCTCCTGTGTTTTCTAGATTGTTGGTCATCAAACAGCATTCATAAATGAACTGAAATTGGGTGATTTTAAACAAGTATTGACAAAGAGCAATATTCCATCTGAATTTTCAGGAGGAGTACTGTGGTGCTGTAATGGAACTGTTGCTGTTCGAAGGGTGAGAAATCTTGTTCATAGTTATGTCGTATAGAAGACATAGGTGAAGCATTTTCTAGTAGTATTGTAATTCTATTCATTCATTAAAATTTTCTTATTTTTGCATTCATAGCATGAAGCTGGTCGTGTTACTCTGGAAGGCTGCTTATCTGATGACTACTATAGAGTTCGTGAGCTTTTATATGAACAATATGCTATTGTATGAATCATCCACAAATTTAAATTGTGTGTTTCCTCTTCTGTCCACAAATGAATGGTATGCTTGGGATTTTCAGTTGTTTGTTTCACTGATTTGAGAGAGTGGTGTAAATAGAATGATCTGTATTATAAAATAGTATGAGTGCTCAGGTTGTGTTGTCAATATTTTTTGTTTTCTTTTCAAATTGCAACTTCCCATATATTGAGAGTTTGCGAAGCCTGTGATCTAAGAAATTGAAACTACTTTTATTAAGAAGGATGTATTGTACAAGTTAAGTCAAATACATTTATTTTACCTAAAGGAAGAGCCTGAACTTATTATTTGCATCATCCCAAGAATTAATCAAAATTTCTGTCCTAGTGTTTTCTAAACATATACTGTTATGTTAAATATCTTTCTTGCAACTATGGGTAACTCTGTAATGACTGTTTATACAGGAATTTTCTGTTGGGTTATGGTCAAAAAATTTAAGGGTGTAATTAAAAATATAAAATTTGGTAAATTTTTACCAAATTTGGCAATTAAATTCTAAATGTCATTTAAAATACGTCTTTATACGTATATAGTCTTTAAATGAATGAGCTAATTTATGAATGCTTTTTTTCTTGGTTAACACATAACTTCTTCAAATCATAAAAAATAGGTATTGATAGAAAGTTTTGTAAACAGCCAATATTGTCTTAACAGTTTCTAAAACCGCTGAACTTCAAAATTCGTTTATAAAATTGACAAGCAAGTGGTGCTACAACAACATACTTTCTCGCATTATTTGTCAGCAGTGGAATTTTCTAAAAATCTGAGGGATCAATGTATATGAGACATGCAATGAGACAAAACATCCATTAATCCAAGGAAAATATTTTGAGCCATTTTGAGAACAAAAATTTAAATCGTCTTAATTTAAAAGAAAACTACTCATTTTTTTCAAAAAATTGTGATAACCTTATGTAAAAATCTAATTTTAACTTTCTTGCCTTACTTTGTAAAAGAAGAAAGTATTGTGATCGTGCCCAAGAAATTGGCGATTTATTGATAGATAAAATTGTAATTGCTGGGCCATGGTAACAAAAATGTGGATAAATCTTGTTCCTTTAAAGATAAATTACTTGCTCTAACATGTGTAGTCAGAATCAATGTTTTGCGGGATCTTGACATGTACCCATAATGATTTGACAGCAAAAAGTCTGTTTGTCTATCTGTCTGTCTGTGATCAAAACTAGCACCTAAACAATATTGATATTCTCTAAAATTTAAATTTCGTGATCGATTTAAATGAACTCAAGACCCTTTGAGTTAGAAATGGATATTTTGTGGATACGAAGCTTCAATACCATATTCAAAATTATCACTAAAATTACTCCAATTTTTTTTTATGAACTTTGTCCTTGGATAGCCTAAAAACGCTTAAAACAATAGTGCAGGTCCTATTTTCATAGAAATTTCCAATTTACCTAAAGTTTCCAAGTTAAAAATTGTTTATGGCATTTTCATACAACTACAACATTGAAGAGCTTTTTTTCTGTAGTAATGAAATATGAGGCTGAAAGACATCTTCATATATCAAATTCAGTTTTTTTGAAAATATGAGGATTTGTGGATACTTTCGCAAGAAATAAAGACAATTTTTAAATTTTTCTCTCCCAAAAAACACTCAATTTTTTTTCTTTTTATTTTCTGCTTGTAGTCAAAGGACACAGAAAAGAATAGTACTAGATTCATTTCTGGCGCAATCTGTATTTTTGAAAATTGCAAAAAGTTAACATCTCAAAGGTATAAAGTTGAAGATATAGATTTTTTCCTTTAAACAAAATCTGTTTTAAAAATCAGCACTTTAAATAAGATCATCTTCATTTTTTTTGAAAAAACAAATCAATTTTGTGTAATTTTTGCTTGAAATTAATGCAATGAATAAAACGCAGTTTGCTAAAAAATCTTTTATTCAAATTTTTTCTATCAAAAAAACAAGGGAGCAAGAATTTACAAGAACATCACAAGTTTACAAGAATATCACAGTTCGAAATCTGAGGGCAGGCGGTCATAGGTCGCTAAAAGTGAAAGGGACACCAAAGGTATTACACACGTTGCCATATTGCCAAAACAAGAGGTGATATTTCCAGATATGGGTTGCAAGTTACATTTAAGACCCTCTATCTCTGTGTCTCCTGAATGATCGGGTAGGGGATGCAATACAAAGTAGCAAATACTTTGTCAGTAAAACTCTTACTGTCTTTACTACTCACGAGACCTGGTGCTCAGACGCCATTGTATAGGTATCCCAAATTAACAAAAAAACAACAAATATAGGAAACACATTCTATTATTAATGACCATATAGTAGGAACTCAAAATGTTACAGTATTTGGACATAGCAAAAGATAAAAGAAGTTTTAAAAATACTGTTGAGGCAGTAGACCCTTAGGTCTCTACCTTCACTAGCCCGCGTATTGTTTCCCAATCAAAATTCATAGAGATATTAAGCTGTATCACTTTAGCCCCATCAATGAATTGTATTAGCCCCACCAGGTGGGGGTTAATTTGAAACCCAATTTAGATTCTTTTTAACGAGTTCCAATAGGTCTTAGTCATTTCTTACTTCGTACATGTCTTTGGCAGCAAAAGGCACACATTCTTTGCTGCTTCTTTTCACACATTGTTTAGTACATATAATTACAGGCAATCGCCCAATTATTAAAAATCATTTACATTACAGTATTATTGAAAATCATTTAGTAACAGGTTTTTATAAGTTTTTTTAAATTGATAAGGTGAACAAAATAAGTTAATGCAGTTACAGTGGGCACTTCTACACATTTTCCATAATGGCGCATAATAGTACAAGGTTGATCTCGCAAAAGGAATATTAAATAACATGCTGTTTGTAGAACGCAGATCACGCACTGGATTAGCCCAAGAATTTTACAATGCAATTCTGAAGAGTCTATATCATGACTTATCAAATTATACAGAAAAAGTACATCAAAATACCAATTTACCAATTTCTTCCAACACATGAAGTAAAATAACATGGTTTACACTATCGAAGGCTTTGTAAAAGTCTGTATAAATTAAATCTACTTGTTTTTGTATATCTAAATTTCCAAGTATATAATAATGGATAGTCATCAAATTAGTAACAGGAGACTTCCCTTTACGAAAACCATGTTGTTCTTCGATCAAAATTGGATTTAGAAATATATGAAAAATATCCATATATCAACTGCGTTAATAAATCAAAATATTTTGAAATGTGAACAATTGCGGGACTTTTTCTGTTTTCTCGAAATGAGGAATTTGGCGTTTGACAGGTTTCTGAAATAAACGATTCAATTAATGAAATTATTGGAGCCAACGTTTGTACGCCACATGCGTTTGCGGATTCATATCAGTCACGTGCACGTATTAAAAAAAATATCCCTAGGCAACATTCTCGAAGGTCATTGGCTTAACAGCAGAATAGAACATATGGAACGGATGTGACTCTTATGAAAAAACAGCGTTACAAAACGAAGTATTACTCGCGTAACTTTTCTTGAACGATGGATTGAAGAAATGTGGGTAGAGTAGGGGAGTTTTAGTCCCTAGATCAGAGAGTATGCCTTTGCCATGTCCTAGATTTTATGAAGCAATGCCAATCTCTGGAGAGCCAGTCATGCCTTCGCAACTTTCTCAATAATTTGCGTTCTAATTTTCTCAGGAGTTCGAGATATTTCCTGTAACAAATCTTCACCTGCTTTGGTCGTTTATTTAATTGTTTTGGAGAAAATTACGGTCAGAAGTTCTCAACTTCAACGGAAAAGTTTCTATTTCGCGCCAGTGAAGATGTGTTTGTAATGTTGTCATCAGTGCACGCTGCGAGCTTTGGTGTTCTACTGTTTATTGTGTCAAAGAGGGGGAAGCAAGGTCATCGTTCAAGAAAAGTTGCGCGAGTAATACTGTAACTGATACAGTGGTGTGAGCGCCCAAAGAAACGACTATGTTTTTGCGTATAGAAAATGAGAATAAGAGAGGGATACGACGCATCACTTGCATCCATTGACGCTAAGCCAGGGGCGTGAAACTTGGCGGCTGTCACTTCTTAGGCTGGGAAAATTCCTTATTTCAGCGACGTGGTGGGGGAGCTGATGATTCATGGTGGGTTATTCGGGCAACTTTTCTTGAACGATGGATTGACGATTTCAGGTGCAGTGGGGGTATTAGTTCCAAAGTCGGCCACTAGAGTATTTTAAGTAATGCCAACGTGTGTGAAATGAAAGTCAAAACTGCATCTTGTACTTAACTTTTTCGGGAGTTTTAGGTGACTCCCTTGAAGGACCTGGACCTCACTCTAGTCATTTCTTTCGTTATTGACAATAAATCTGAACAGGGGTTCTGCACTGTGAAAGCAACTGGCTTTGACTAGCTTCTGTTTCGCGCCAACGAAGTTTTAATGCTTGGAAGGTTGTCATCAGTGCCTGCTGCGAGCTTTTGCCTTCAACTGTTTATTGCACAAGGGAGGGGGATCAAGGTCATCGTTCAAGAAAAGTTGCGCGAGTAATACCATTACTGCCCATGTGAATTCAAGCTCACCCTCATCGTGAAGTACTCTATAGCGACTTTTGCAAATAATAAAAAAAATAGTCCGGCTTCCAAAAGTGCTGTCATCTGACGATAGCTTTAAGTAGAGTGAATTGTGTCGCGATATTTATTTGCCATGTCTAAAATTTTGTTTTCGGTATTTTGGAAGATGATTTAAGAAGACTGGTGGTAGAGGTATTTATAATTCATTTTGGTATTGTTGCATAATAGTAAATGATTATTTCATTTTTGAGCATATACACTATGCGAAACAGTCTTTAAAATCCTAAAATCTATGTAGTATAACCTAACCTAAGTACATGTTTCATTTATTCTGTTCTATTCGCTTAAAAGTATAATATTATTACTAACTGATCATTTCGTATGGTATTGAACAACTCTTGTAATATATCCATTGTTTGCAATACCCATGTCTCATTTTCAAATATACAGAATTCATTATTGTTTGCATTTCTAGAATAGATACTCTCGTTGTATGATGAAATGTAATTAATTTAATTTGCTTAGGTAAACAAGTTACGTTTCCATTCTGGAGGTGATATTTGAATTGCCGTATGTTTTGAGGAGATAACTAGCAAGATATAAACGAATTTGACTTTACCAACATTAGAAGATGGAATTGTATCAACAGTGTTTCTTACAAGGCCAGCCCTCTTGTCTTCTCAAAGAATACTCCAAGAACATCTTATTAACAAGTGTGCCAGTGAAATCTTTTTTTCCCTTGAAGCTGC